AGGCCCGAGACCTGGGTCTTCTACATCCTCGCGACGTGGGCCAAGGAGAACAAGAGCGCGCCGGACGCATCCACCGACACAAACATGGTCGACGAGCTAAAGAAGCGCATGGACGACTGGGCCGATCCGTTCAAGTCGGCTGTGGAATGGATCCCCAATGGTACTCAGGCTAAGGTAGTCCCCTTGAGGATCTGGGGTCCCCCCGACTCAGGCTGGGACAACCGTGGAGGAAGAGTCACCCTTGCAGGCGACGCGGCTCATAGCATGACGTTTCGTAAGCGATCTAATAATCCCCTTGCTTGCTTACTCATCCTTCGATATCATGCCATCTCCCATTGCGTCCAAGAATATCCATTTATTTCATATGTGTCTAACCATAAAGCTACGGGCAGACCGCGGCCAAGGCGCCAACAACGCCATCTGCGACAGCCAAAAGTTCGTCTCGGCCATGATCAAGGTCAAGAACGGCGCGGCCACGCTCGCCGAGGCCGTCGACGAGTACGACGCCGACGTCATCACCCGGGGCAGGACCGAGGTCGACGTCTCCAAGACCCAGACGGACGCGTTCCACGACCACGCAAACTTCCACAACAGTCCCATCATGAGGTTGGGGATCAAGCCGACTTCACAGGCGAAGTGATTTGGTTCTTGCTTCTCGGAATTATTGTTCCTTTCAACTTCGGCTGAATCTCTACGTCAGGTGAGGAAGGTTAGGGTTGGCTGGGAGCCGATTCGACCCCGTCACAAGGTTAAGGCAAGCCAAGGTCGGAGACAGAGGCGGATGATTAAAAACAAAAATGGACCCGTAGGCACTACCTATTGAGATATAGATAGCTATATCACAGAGTATTGAAATGGCCTATTTCCTGGATTGAACAAATTCATCTTCTGGCTTCCTCCCAGCATTTCTCGACAAGTCACCTCCCGTTTTGCTCCGTTCTTCCTTGTGGGTGCTAACTACACAGTTCAGCCGGTGTCGAGCACTGATTCCCCTCGACGACGTTTCCTTGACCTGGGGTCTCGACGAAGATGTCGACATCATTCCCACGAAGGACGTTGCCTGTCACGGCATTGCTTGCCGACTCGAGCCCTGTCACGGGGTCGTTCAGGATGGCGATGCCCACGGCGCTGCCGTTGGTTCCGCCGGTCGTAAGGCCCTCGACGAGGTTTGCATGGACCTGTGTATCAAAAGCGCCGAGGAGGGCGATGCCGATCAGCGCACCACCCGGCACGCTCGCGCAGAGCGGGTTGTCATCGCTGACGTGGTTGCCGACGACGCGTGCGCCGGTGACGCCCGGGTCCACAAAAGCGCCGTAGCACGCGTTCGTGACGTCGTTGCTCGACACGTCGGCGCCGTCGGTTTGCACGCACAGTCCGACGGAGTAGTCGGCGACGTGGTTCTTGGTGACGTGCACGTCGGACGTGTCGTCCATGCAGATGGCGATGAAGAGCAGGTCATCACCCGTTGCGGAGGAGGATGACGCAACGGTGTTGCTCTCGATATGGCTACTCGTTGAACCCACCGTCAAGCACCCATACTGCGCGCCGTCGTAGAGTGTATTCCCCTTCACATGGACGTCCTGGCCACCCACCACGGCGATATTCAGCCCAGAGAACCCGCGGACTTCGAACCCCGCCACAACCACGTCCTGAACGGGACGGCCGACCGAGATGACCTTTCTATGCTCCACGACAAACTCAGCAAGCTGGACATCCTGCCCGGTTACACAGATACCGGCTTCTGTGTCGGGACCGGCCAGGCCCGAACACGTGTTTTGCGCATAGGAGCCGGGAGGGACCAGGATAGCTCCCTTGCCCACCAGCTGGAGGCCGTCGGTGGTGACTGTCAGCTGTTCTGGGTACGTTCCGGCAGCGACGAGAATCAGTTGTCCAGGATGAGCGGCGTTGATGGCGGCTTGGATGGATTCCCCTGCGTTGACATGAATCGCGCCGCTGTACCAGTCACTCGCAGCGGCCGGGCATGCAAGCCAGGTGCACGCCCAAACGAACAGGGATATGGCCTTGTTGTTACCCCAGTGCGGAACTATGATTGCCATGGTCAAGATTGCCGAGTGGATGTGCTTGGTTTATATCTTTCTTAGAAGTCCTTGCTGTATGGAGAGAACCTATGTAGTACTATCCGGACGAGGACAAGAAGGGTGGAGGAACGGTAAGGATAAAAGGAGATATTATGCACCATACTTAACATTTCCACAAGCTGGCAAAATCCCATCTCGTGTGCAAAGGCGAGATCCGTAGTAGGTTTTCGTCCGTATAGCATGCATGCATTGCTGTCTGTGTACAGGCCTTGGACAGTACATGTCTCACTGGCGTAGAAGACAATTCTCAAACTTAGACCCTCGCAAACTTCGAACACAGAAGTCGGGGATGGATTCTGCTCGGACAGGTATTCGTGATGGGCGGGTCCCCAGGACATCCATATCGTATTTCAACACATCCTGCGAATTCGTCAGTAGATACTATTCGTGAGTTATTATGGTGAGTTCGTGTCTTCGATGAACAAGCTTCTAGCTCCCCAACACGAAACAAATCCAGACCCTCAATCGAAGCCGGCCATGTGACGCCGATTTCCAAGACCTTGTCGCGGACCCGTACTGCGGCGGCACTGAGCACAAAAGTTAGATGTTGAACACCTCGGCTTGTTTCACCGCTGGAACTCTCATCCTAAAACCAAGACCAGGTTGGGAAAGTGCAATTAGATTCTTAAGTTGCACAAAAGTCCCGTTACGGTGATGGACGAGAGTGAACATCTTCGTAACTCGAGTGAACACGGGAGGCAAAAGGCAGGGTTAGATCTCTTGGTCGATGTGCAGCTGAAATGTGAATACGAACCTCGCCCTCTGGTTCGGCAGCCTAGTTTCCGCGTGAAAGTGTGAGGACAAGAAGGGTGCAGCTGGAAGAAGAAGAAGAGGGACAGAGGTGAAACAAGAGCAATACTGTTGCTAAAATATCGAAATATCCGCCCATCTATGGTAACATGGAGGAATATTCGTACATGTTGTTTACCCACTCGATTCAATGGCCAGACATGGATGTGATATAGCCGGTTATCCCGGCTTCCGGCCCTTGACAAAGTACCATCGCTGGTAAAGATGGAGTCTGCGGTCTACAAACTCCTCCTTCACCTCGGCCATGGCAGTCTCTGTGACTTCGTCGCTGTGGTGCAAGACCCGCTTGTAATAGGCCAGCATGAACGAGGGCACTGATTGGAGCATCTGTATTCGATAGAGGACTCCGATCTCTTTCAACTTTGGATCCTTCGCCCATGGCCCTATGGGAACCTGTAGTAAGTCAGACGTGGGGACTGTTTGAGTGACCGGAGTCGCGGCACTCACCTTCTTCACGACTTCCTCCACGTCCTGGAACCCGGCTTGAAGCATCCAGCGTTTGTGGAGGTGAGCCACATTCAGTGGCTTCCCGACCCTGTCGCTGGCCTGTTGTAGTTGTGCGATGGCCGAGACGCACGCGGTTGCACGCTCCAAGCCGCCATCATCGCTGAAGAAGTTCACGGCATGTTCTTGCAGCTCAATCCAGCCTCCAGGCTTGAGATTCCTAAAAGCCTGCGCGTAGAACCGTGGCCAGTCCCCGATGCCACCGCACAGACCGCGGGCGTGGATAAAATCAAACTTCTCGTTCTCCGCCCACGTCCAGTCCGCTTCCGCATCGTCAACGTAAAACTGTAGATTCGGTGGCACCCAGGGCGGCTGTATAGGACTCAGATCCGTTCCTATCACTTGGGCGCTGGGGAACTGGTCGGCGATCTCAACGGCCCATATACCTGTGCCGGTGCCGACGTCGAGGATACGATGTGGATCGCTAGGGAGGGGCGCGGTGAACAGCTCCCCGCCCAGCAGCATTTTGCAGATGTGGTGGAGCAGATCAAGTCGATCTTGCTCCTCTTCGTCGTTGGGCAGATAGTAAGCACCTTCGCGATATGAGTGGTACGTGCGCCCATTTTCGTATCGGTAGTTGTACACTGACGATCGGACACTCTCGCTGAGTAACGATTGTGGCCCTCCATCAAACCCGGAATCCGCATCCGACTGATCGTCCTGGTGCAGCTGTTAGCAAGCCACGTTTGCGCAAGGCATCTTACCCTCCGTACTCTATAATCGTGATCGACCAAGAGATTTCCCTCTGAAGAGATGGATGCTTCTCGGTCGCTTTGCCCGGTCGCCATGTTGCCTACCACAACTTGAATTTCTGGGGTTGAGGCGAGTGTGCGACAAATTCCTGGCACTGGAGACCAAGGAAGTTCCGAGTGGGGAATGGGATCGGGGTGGGCTGAGATGGGAAATGTAACTGAAGTCACCGAGGAAAACCACTTTGACCAGACACCAAGATATGCCAGTTGGGTTGAGGTTAGGGTCTATGAGAAAGTGCCGGGGAAGTGAGGGACTTGGGCGGGACTTGTGCAGGTCGAACAAGTAGAGATAGCGGGCGACTGTGCCGCATGTCATGCCACCCATTGTGCATCCACCGCCCACCCACCACTGTTCACCACTCCCTACCTGGGTAGGTACTTACCACTCACTACATAATTACTCACTATTTACTACTCATTACTGTCTACTTTTACTGCCCACTGTTCACTACACTCCACCCACTCCGATTGTCCCGAGTATTAGCTGCCATGACCGCAGCTTATCAGGTTCTCAGGGCACGTCATGGCCACTCGCCTATTGGCCCTATCCGCTCATGCATAAACCATGTGCCAATATTCCTTCAACCTGTCTCTATTCCCTCTCATTGGCGATACCAACCCCTACATACTGCCTGGCGGGCGGCTAGGGAATCCCCGTTGATGCCGGCTCAAGCGCCCTGCAGGATAGATACTACGAGACCACTGCAACCAGGATGGACGGGGCTCCTGCACATGGGTGAATGAATGGATAAATTGTGCTTCGTTGCGCAGCTCTGCTCTGCCTCTCGACAGCCCTTCGACCGTACTCGTCCCTTATAACGAACAAACAAGAGAAATGGCCATAGCCATAGCCATTGCTGCCGGTCCCTTGGTCCAAACCCTCCTAGCCGCTACTGGCGCATATGCGCTCTACCTTGTCGCCCTTGTAATCTATCGCCTGTACTTCCACCCGCTCGCGAAATTCCCCGGGCCCAAGTACGCGGCGATCAGCCACTGGCACGAAGCCTACTACGATGTCTTCCTGAAGGGACAATTTACGTTCAAGGTCCAGGAGATGCACAAAAAATATGGTACTATGACTTTCGAATTGATTGCCCTAGGGGGTCTTGCTTGTTCCTAAAATGTCACGCTTAGGACCGATCGTACGCATTGTCCCCGACGAGCTCCATATCCAGGACTCGGACTTTTACGAGACGCTCTATACCAAGGCCGGGCGCGTGGACAAGTATGAGTGGATGGCTGGCCGATTTGGTGATCACGACTCAGCTTTCGCGACAGCGTCGGACGAACTTCATCGAATTCGACGGGGTGCTCTCAACCCGCTCTTCTCGCGACAACGCATCCTCGATCTCCAGGATGTGATTCAAGGTAAAATCGACATCCTGGTCGAGCGTGTCCGCGAGTTCCAGGCCACCGGGAAAGTCATGCCTATCAACCGGGCATTTGCAGCACTTACGGAGGAAGTCATACTGGAATACTGTTTCAGCCTCAGCTACGACGCTCTGCGCGAACCGGAGTTTGAAAAGTCGCTACACGATCCGATCATGGCTGCTAACCAATTCAGCAACGTGTCTCTGCAGTTCCCGTGGATCCCTATGGTTCTTTTCAACCTTCCCCAATCCATCACGGTGAAAATGCAGCCTGAATACGCTCTGTTCTTCAGGATGCAAAATGTATAGAACGGTGCCTATCCCGAGGAGCGACCATGTAATGCTGACGAAATGCAGGACTTTCGGAAGCAAATTGACGCGATGAAAGCTGGCAAAATGAAGGATGTCCTGGAGAAGTCTTCTCACCGAACAGTATTTCAGGAGTTGGTTGAAGGTAACTTACCACCGTCAGAGAAGAATTCACTGCGATTACAAGGCGAAGCTTCAGTCGTGGTCGCCGCGGGAGTCATCACAACAGGCTGGGCGCTGTCTACGGCGGCTTTCCATATCGTCAACAATCCACCAATATTTCAGAAGCTACGAGCCGAGTTGGAGGCTGCCATGCCGGACCCCACCGTTAAGCCTAGCTGGTCTGACCTCGAGAAGCTACCATATCTTTCCGGGTGTGTGCGAGAAGGGGTTCGTATGTCATATGGAGTGACGGCGAGAGAGCCCCGGCTCTTGTCCAAGCCTCTAGAGTACAAGGGCTGGATCATCCCCCCAAGGACTCCTGTGAGCATGACCAATGTCGACGTGTGCGATGACGAGAAGATCTTTCCGAATCCCCGAACGTTCCAGCCTGAGAGATGGATCGGCAACCCTAAGACAGCCCACGGGCAAAGCTTGGAAAGATACTATGTTAGCTTCGGCAAGGGTTCACGAAGCTGTCTGGGCATCAAGTAAGTGTGCTGAGCTCGTTGACGCTGATTAACCGTCATGTTGAGTGTTCGTCATAGCCTTGCACACGCCGAACTCTACTTGACCATCGCGTCGCTCTTCAGAAACTTTGACTTTGAGCTTTACCAGACCGATATTAGTGATCTCGAATTAGCGCACGACTTCTTTGCTCCGAGCCCACGACTCGACTCGAAGGGCGTCAGGATTAAGGTTAAGCCCGCATAGACGGCGTCGTACAACTCCATAGACAAGCTTTTGATGAGTTGGCGACGAGCAAAGGGACGGTCACTGGCGTGCGTCGTGCAGAGAGATCCGAGTAAGGTAGCTGATAGAATTGTCAGTGTTATGTGGCCATCAAAGATATTATTCTTCCCGTTGGCAGAAACGTGTCAGTGAGTGTGACTGTTCGGTTACCTAGTTAGTCTCTCTCGTGAGGATTGAGCAGTAGTCGCTGTCACCAGCTGGCCGAACCTGAGGAGACGGCAAACGGTATCCCATGGCGAGATAGTCCGCTCAGAGATCCTGTGATGGTGACATGTAGCCCTCTGTTACGCACGGTAATCTACCAAACCAAGCGCGAAGTTCTTTTCTCAGTATTTACCATCCCAATCCAAAGGGAGAAAGGAACTCCGTACAAGTGCACAAGCGCAACAGCTGACAAGCCACAAAGCAAGTTGATCTATCTCTCGGAGGAGATATCGGTTCGGCGCCTACCCAGCTCCCGACCCTGTTTCAAGGACGATTGATGGACAGTGGTGGTTTGGTCGACGACCTGAACGACAGTATCTCTCCCAACGTGCAGAATTCCTCTTCGCGCTCGTAGCTGGTCTTAGATGCCCGTGTCCCAGGAAGGGACGGTGACGTATATATTCTCAGAGTCACACAAGCCAGATATAGCAATGACGAATTCGAGGACTGATGATGCGGTTCGAGACGAATCTATCGCCTCTTTTGACAAAGAGCGTTGCTAGAAGCGTCGTGAGTCCGCGCACTGAGTTTGTTGTCATTTTCCTTCTTTTTCCCTGTTTACCAGCCTTCATTCATCGACAGTGTCGTCTTCGTCTCCGTCTTCGTGGGGACACGATGTGTGCCGCCGTAGAGTGAGTGGATGGACAAAAACTTGAGTCCGATCAGGAGGACAAATAAAAGCAGCTCCGTGGTTGTGAGCACATCCGGGTGGACGAGGTGACAGGTAATTGTCGTTTATGTCATCTTGCATTGCTTCATCGGGGAGGCGGGAGGATCGTCCGGGCGAGAGTCGGGCTTTTCTTAGTGAAGGATGGGTGCCACGGCATATTTCCTTTGGCACCAGGTATTCGCTCGGTTTGTTCCGGCGCTGCGTGAGTGGGTGGCTGAACGACAAGCCCAAAACCAACCTCACGACAACATTCTATGTTGGTCTTTGTGGATTTGGGTATATATGAGATCATTCATATCCCATGCCTGGCTGACTCTTGCTCCTGTGGCTTCCTCTCTCCTCGTTAATTCAACGAGTGAAGAAGAAGGTGACTTTGCAATCGATTACAAGAAACTGGCTACCGGTGTGTATGTCGGTTCGGCATCTACCGCCCACTCCTCTGGTCCAGCCCACTCATTCATGCTTTCAAAGCCGGCCAATGCTAACAGAGACCATGGATGAGATTACAGACCTCGATTCCTCTCTGGCGCTGGTCCCTGAACCAGGCAAACAAACTGATGATCCCACGAAACACGCGCTGCCTATCATCAAGTCCTCGGCATTCACCCGAGAGTCCCCCCAGACGGAAGCCTTTGTGACAGGAAAGAAGAGCATGCAGTAGCAGGGAATAGCGGATCCGTCGAGGTGTGCGCCCGACACGGGACTTTCAACCTTCCCTGGTTGCCGAAGCGAGGCCCACGACCTGGTGGTATCTCCCCCCTGCTCATCACCACCACCATCAGCCACAAGTCGAGACACCCGTTGTCGAAGCTGGAAGACTCAGGGTGAGGAAGTAGGCTTCTGCGACACCACATAGCGACTACTATCACCGTCCAACTACTCAACATACAACGAATGGCAATGAGAAGAAGGTGCCCTTTCTCCTGAATTTCCGCTGATCGTGAAATCTCAACCAACGGTGACATACCATGTCAGTCTTGCACTAGCCGGTAGAATCAGCAGGGCCCTTTCGACTTCAGGGTCCATGCGCAGCAAAAGGGCCTTCAGCAACATTCCATCCGCTCCCATCTCAAGCCTCTTCCTCGCCACTGAGTATGCTCCCCGAATACGAGGCTGTAACACTCAGCTCATGCACATGCTTTCTTCAAGGCGAATTAAGCTGTTTAATCTACAGGATTTGGCCTATTAGGCTGCGTTACAGGCTCACCGCATCTTTACTTCAGGCAGCACTGCTATTAGATGGCGCCTGGATGCATCCAGACCCGTCGCGGATGCAGTCACCAATACTAATTCCGGGCAACATACATACAAAGACTGCATTTCCAAGGTTCTCTATGCAGCCACGTCATCCACAATGTCACATCTCAGACATGTGATGAGCAACGCTTTTCTTAATTTGTTTCAAGCTCTTTACTTAAGGTTTGTACTCTCGCCAGAGACATGCGTGCACTTCGTTGAACGTATGGGAAATGCAGGAGCGAACGTCTCAACCCTGCCCTTTGACATCAAATATGCGCCCAGATGGGCAGAGAGACAAGAGTGAAGCGGCCAAAATCAGCCTCTCGCACTGGAATGCCCAACAATCCTCGGATGGAAGACTCACTCACAGCAGGTTTGATCGCCGATCGCAAAATTTACAGCCTGATGGTCACAATGGTTCCTCTGGCTCAGGCAGGGCTCAGGGAGCAGGTCTTCGACCTATAAATATCACCGAACTGTCACCAATTTTGTCAACCACCAAACTGTCTTTCCAGAACTCCTTTTACATCTCAGGCTTTCTCACAATATAGCCCCTATGTCTAGCCTCTCCAGGCGCGAACCTCAAAACAAAATCATGAAAAAACCTCCTTGGACACAGGAAGAAACAGGTATTTTGATCATGGGTCTTCAGGCTGGGTATCCTTATAGCGAAATCCGACGAAGGTACCTTCAAAAAAGATCAATCCGAGCTTGCAAAGCTCGAGTTGAAACTCTAGAGAAAAATGGCATGCTAGCCAACTTTTTTCCAATTGCCTCACAATCGAGCTTACCAGCCCGGTCACGCGCGGGGCAAAGTGGCAATAAAGAACTCCCCGCCAGAAGACGCTCAAATCCCGCAAGGAGATCGAGATTTCCCGGGGTTCATGCTGACCAGTCGTTGGCCTCTGCAGACGAGGCGACTGACGCCAGTTATATGTCCCCAGACTTTTCAGATGGAGAGGACAGTGACGATTCATATGTGGATCCCAGCCCCGACATTGACGTTCCGGATGCCTCTCCTCCAGACACGCATAATCCAATGGATGTCGCTGTCATTTCGACTATGATGGCGCCCACGGACGAAGATATTGACCAGGTGCAGCCCCAGGATAACATATCTGTGGAACAAACCGCCCCCGGTATGCCTCAGAGTCAGGAGGCAACCTCTACCGAAGTCGAGGCTCGTCGAATTCATAACTCAGTCCGGGATATCTGGAATCAAATATCTCAGTTCTACATCAAGTATCCCGCTCCAGACGTGAATGTTCACCAGATAGATGAGTGGGATAAGGACTACCAGGACATTCAGGGTCTGCTTTGGCTGTACGTTGGCGCCTCTCGTCTGTGTTGCAGAAGCTGATTATCAATATAGGTGGCCCAGAGAACTGCCTCCGCAATACGCAGTGGTGAATGAGGAGATTCCAATGGATGCTCCGACAAATCTAATTCTGGCTCACCTGGAATACCGAGTCGCACAAATCAAATGGTACGGCCCAATGCGCAACTGTGATCCGTTGCGGAGACCCAATGGGATTTTCAGGAGTCCGGAACGGACTTGCGTCAATGCAGCCAGGGAGATTGTTTCAATCCTTGAACAACATCTCCGGCGAACACCGCTGGATATGATAGGCCCCCATTTGAAGGCCCTGGCAACGGCGACCCTCGCCGCATTCAATGCTCTCAAAGGTTCGGAATGGCATATTTCGTCCCGCTCCATCTAAGCACCGACTAACCAAGGTTTTCAGATCGCGCTTTTGGTCGAGATCGAGACATACTTATGATTCAGAGAATTACACAAATGCTTGCAAGTCTCCTCAATGTGCTGGTAAGCGATGTGTCCGGCAACCTGGCCACATCGAATGAGCTCTTGCCTCCCGAAAGCACCCCCTGCGTACCAGTGAATGCGCCCAGCACTCTCAGGTACGTAATTGTGACCTCACAAAGTTGAAATGTATGAGTAGATCCTCCGTTTGGACTGACACACGACTCTTAGCCGAGGGCCTGAGGAGGTTCCAGATGCCTCCAATCAGCACAATAGTTCCGAATTTGTCCCCTCGCCATCAACTCGAACGGAGTATGGCCCACTCAATGGTGAGAATGCTTCTGGAGATTTTCGATCAATTCAGACCGACGCTGACAGCGCTCAATCTCCTTCAGAGCACGAAGCCGGCGTGAACGCTCACCCGAGTACAGCGGAGCCCTCGAATTTCACGGACGGGCTTAGTGATCAACGGCAACAGCGACAAGCTGCAACGAGCCCAATGACATACGCAGCACCATCTGAAATATCACAAAACACTTTCAACGAGGTGAGAGATTTTCGTGGTTGTTGTTCTGGGTCTTGACGGCTTGCCATCCTCTCTCTTTCTCTCTCTCTTTCTCTCTCTCTCTGTGTGTGTGTGTTTACTATTTACTTGTTTAGCTGGAGTTTGTTGCCTCATCGTGTAAAGATCAGTCAAACTAACACACGCACGTGTGCTTGATAAGCTGTTATTTGGGGACGACCCCATGTTTAACAACTTTCAGAGCTGAATATGATCTCTACCGAATGGATCCAACGATGCGAGACGATTCTTGCAGATCAGACGTTGGCAGGCTCTCTCTTGGCCAATCTAGCAAAGAACATTGAGAGACAGGTGTCAATTGATCTTGGGCTCTGGGAATTGATATTCTGGGTGAGATGGTCTGGTTGTGTCGTTCGTGGTACGGGCGTGTATGATTTTACGGAAATGCCGCTGCGAGCTCTCGTAATCGACGCTTAGGAATGGAAGTTCCTCCTTTTTGCGACGGCCTGGTGGTGGCCAATGTTTTTGGTGAAGGTTGTTGATTGATTGATTGATTGACTAATTGACTGATTGATTTCGCGAGATGAAGGGCGGGTTCGGCTTTTCTTTACCACGGCAAAAGCCATGACGCAACCGTTTTGAATTACTTTTTTCAATGATTCGACGAATGATAATCGGCAGTTGCCATATTTTGTCTTGTCTTGTCTGAAACGATGGAAGGAATGATATTGGATGACCCCGTTTTCTTCCTACCTGTAGCTGTGGAGATGGGAGTGGGAGTGGAAGCTGGGAGTAAAGGGCGAATACCCCAAAGCCACCAAGCGCATAAGCCCCAAGGCTGTCACACTCAGGGGCAACACACCTCCCCCTTGGCGACGACACTTTTATCAAACGATATTCCCGACCACACACTCCGCTGGCCGAGTTGTGGTTCTGATTTTCAACTCAGCTTCGGTGTCTAGCGTCTAGTGTCCATCAATATTGTAGTATAGGCTAATTAACTATCTCCGAAGGCAGGGAGCACCTGGGTGGGGAGCACCTAGGGAGGTAGGTACCTGCCTGATGCTTAGCTAGGCTGTGCTAATTCAAGTTGATGGGTGGTTGAGGTAAGCCAGACGAAGCTGTGTACCGAGTACCTCTTACCTGTCCCTTCAAGACCGGCGTCAGGGGTGAATGCGACATAACACGAGTCAACTAGTTAGGTAACGAGTACGAGGGACCTACCAACCTACTCAGTACTTGGTACCTATCAGGCACGTACCCACTGAGGACCTACTGGGGACATACCAAGCACTCGTACATCACTGGGTACGTATTCACGGTAGGAGTGGATAGGCACCCAATAGGTATGTGTTCATGCATTTATGTAACCTCACAAATACCGGGTCCTCGTACTCGTACTGGCACTCGTACATGCGAGCGTAAAGCGAAACCTCTAGACTCCAGTCTGCAGTCTCCAGTCTTCTATTCAGGCCTGCTCCGAGGAGCGATGCCATGGGAATGGGCGTCAGGCGTCCAATCTTCAATTCAGGCCCCTCGCCGTGTACGAGGTAACCGAGCGCGTGGTTTGCGGAGGATTTGATATCCCCGGGTCCCGTGAAGGTAGTAATGTAGCGGTCAGGACTTGGAGGTTGGGAAGGTAGGAACGGCGGATAGGTGGGTATTCACGAAGACACTGATGTGGACACCAGATACAGGACACTGGACACAGAACACAAGAGACTAGACGGGTATCTAGGAGATGTTCAAAGGATAAATATGAGGAATAACCCTAGAATAATAGAAGGGGAAAAGAATACTGTACTAGTTCCCTTAGTCTTGGGTCTTGAGCTGGTTTTTCAAGGTTCGAGGTTTGAGGTTAAGGTGAAATTGACCTCATCAGGACAAGGAAGAGCAGTGACGAAAGAGATTCCAACACCGCATCCTACCGTCGAATCTCGACTTTCAGCAGTCTAGTACCCCTGAATCCAAGCCAGTAATTGAGTGTCGTCTCTGTCATATCCCGCCATGTCCGCCACAAAACCCACAATCATCCTCGTCCACGGCGCGTGGCACTCGCCTGAGCATTTCCGTCCGTTGGAGCAGGCACTCAATTCATCACAACCACCATCATCTTCTGGTGGTGGTTCTGGTGGCGATAATGGCTACAGAACCATCTCGCCCTGGTTACCCAGCATGCACTACGCCCGTCTCCGCCTGCCCCCTCCATCAAACATCGCCGACGACATCGCCGCGATTCGTCAGGCCATCGTCTCCGAATTGACGTCCCACCCGACCACCAACGTCGTGGTGCTCTCGCACTCGTACGGCACCGTACCAGCCACCGCGGCGCTCGAGGGACTCGACATGGCGACGCGCGCACGGGCTGGCCACGACAACGGCGTGACCGCGCATTTGATCATCTCGGGCCTCCTCGCGCCCGTGGGGACCTCTCTCCTAGACTGGGGCGGCGGGCAAGTTCCACCGACGATGGTCTTGTCAACGGTTCCGGTTCCTTTGTCTTCGTCCGGAGGAGATAAAACCGGTGGCGTCGAGAAGGGGATTGGGAAAGTCAAGGTCTGTACGCCCGTCAAGGACCCCGGTCCGGTCGCGCTGTTCTATCACGATCTCGCCGAGCGGGATGCGCCTGCCGCTGAACACTACGCGAGTCTGTGCGTGCCGCAGGTCTGGGCCGTGCAGGAGACGGTCGTGCCGTTTGCGCCGTGGAGTCCACCCGGTGCAGAGACAAAGTGGAAGCCAGAATCTTCATCGGAAACTCCATCGAAGATAGACTCCCAGACCCAGTCCCGGTCAGGACTGATATCAAACCCAGATTCAGACCCCAACACGGAAACGGGTACGGGTACGGGTACGGGGATAGGTCTGGACATACACTACCTCGTCTGCGAAGACGACCGGGCCCTCCCAGCGGCGATCCAGCGGGTCATGATCGACGGCGCCGACAAGGGTATCACAGCGCACTACCACCACCCTCATCCCTCGACCACAGCCCAAGGGTCCAAAATACACGTCACAGCGATTAACAGCGGACATTGTCCGTTTTTGAGCCGCGTGGACGAGACGGTGCGGTGGGTGAGGCGGTGTTGTGGTGAGGGAGAGGTATAGTCTTAAGGCTACAGTACCTAGATACGCGAGACGGGAGTCTGTAGTAGACGACTACAAGGATCTAGTCTAGTGTGGTTGAGTCTAGTTGAGTATATTCTATTAAAAAACAAAATCAAACAAAAAAAAAAACCATGGAGATGGCTAGAGTATTAGGGAGACACGTCTACGCTAGTCTAGTATATCGAAAAGACATACTTCTACTAGTAGTGGAATGTTTACTAGGTAGTGTCCACGCGTCCAAAATGTGTCCTGGGATGAGATCTGCTAGGAAGAATACTAACTGATGTATCCATTATGTTCCTTGCTCTCGTCTTTGGTACACATCTCCCCCAACCAGGTCCCTGCACGCTAATACTATAAATATATACATGTTACAACCCCGACGATGAGATCACCTCCCTTCCTTCCACCTCCCATCTCTTACCTCTTTGCTACCCTTCATTACTCCAGCTTACCCACTCTCCCCAGCGCCAGCGCCGTAATAACAGCGGCCCCAACACCACTCCCGTCCTCCGCACTCGTCAACTCGATCCCCTCCAACTCACTTCCCGCTTCTTCTGTAGAGACCGCCTTCGCCCCCATCTTCATATCCAGAATCTCGCGGACCGCGTCCTCCCACCGCTCCCGAAACCGGGGGTGTTTGATCGCGACGCTCCCGTCCGCGGCGACGTGACCTCTGCGGACGCCGATGCGGCGGCAAATGGCGGAGACGCCGCACGCGCAGAGCCGCGCGCCGCGGATGGCGATCAGCTTGGCCAGGGCTTGGAAGAAGCGCAGTTCCTGTGGCGAGGGGTACAGGTTTGAGAGGCTCTCCTGGAAAGCGCGGGTTGATGCCGTCAGAGATTCTGAAGAGTCGTTCTCTAGGTTGGATAGGAATTCCGTGTCGATTGCGTAGGGGGTGGCGAGACAATCCGCTTGCTTGTCGTCGAGATTGGGGTTCTGGAATATGACGCCGCGAGAGTGCAGGTCGACCAGCACCTGGCGGAACATCTCGCCTAGGTACAGCCCCGCAGACATCTTCTCGAACGTCTGTTCGCCCGGCCGGGGAGACTGCTCGTCGATCAGCTCGTCGTACCGCGTCCGCGGCAGGATCGTGTGGGAGTTGTCAAAGGCGCCGTATTCGCAATTGATGGCCATGAGCGAGTCATCTGCTCCGTCATTCTCGGTCTGTGAAGTAGTTGTGGTGCCGTTGGAGGACATGCGACAGTGTCGTAATTTCGGTATACGTGCCGCTCGTTCCATATATGCCGCGTTGCAACCGGTGCCGAAGATGGCGCCAATGATCGTCTCGGGGTCGTTGTAGGCGGACGCGATCAATGCGCCGGTTGTGTCGTTGATCAGTGCGACAAGCTTGACGGGGAGGTCCTGGACGGCGCAACACAATCGGGTCCGTATTTAGCGAAGGAAATTCCATATTAAAAGTCAAGCAAAACGGGTCAAAGACGAGGCAATAGGCATGGGTGGTACTACAAAACGTACCCGTTTCGCAATGGCCTCCTTCAACATCTCTGCCACGTCATGTCCTTCGACGCCTTGTACATCCCATCCCTTGGTCCAAGTCTGCAAGATCCCATGATCAATCCTGTCCTGGGTTGCTGGATAACTGAAGGTAAAGCCCAAGGGTACTTTGCCATCGTCCTCTTTGAAATGGCCGGTATCGACGTGTGCCTTGACGAAATCGCCCAGACGATCGGCAATATGTCCGAATAGTTCAACTGCCGTTCCGGTCTTGATCGCCTTGGGAAGCTGGTACTTCTCCTGCGTGACGTCGGCGCCGCCCGATGTGCCGGTGAGCGTGATGAGGCAGACGCGGAGGTTCGTACCGCCAAGGTCGATCGTGAGGTATGTGCCTGTTTCTCGTCCTGTTGGGAAGGCTGTGACCCAGGTTATGTTCATTGGCTGAAAGGGTCAGTTCCTCATATGTATCGAGGATGGAGCATTTTGCTCGTGAAGTATGGTGGCGATAGGAGAACGAAGTAAGTGAGAACATACCACATTAGATCCGTGTTTTTGCAGGCCTGGTAGGTGGTACTGTCAACAGCTGTTCATGGGAGTGCCTAGTGTTGAGGCCTGGAGCATCCACTGCGTGGGATGAGGTATTCCTTGTGACCAGGTACTCTTCCAATGGTCGATAATATCCGT